CTTCCTTCCCATCGTGACAACTGAGTATAACTGAAAACCCAAGTTCGCAGTGTGTGAACCAGGCATCTTGCTGCTGACCTGGTCTAAAAAAGCTAGGCAGCAAGATGGGAAGCATCGGGAGACGTTCTGATGTGTACCTGCTTTTCAACCGTTGCCAAAGCTGTTCACTCCACTCTTCAGTAATGTGCTAGTGCGGCGCTGTTGAAACACCTTCGGTTTGACTGACCCAGCATTCGTGCCGTTCATTCAAGTCAAGTGCTACGTAATCACTAAAGTGCTACTGCATCGCTGAACTGAATCCCTCTCTGAACTTAACGCTCATTCATTTGAGCTATGAATCTAAAGTGTGCGTCATTTGTCCAACCACCACGGTGCGGTGTTGAATCAGTGTTCAAACATCGGGAGAATGGAGGGTTTTCGGGTTCGCGTTCATAGTAGGCCTCCCAGTTCAAACATGGGGAAGAAAAGTGGAGCACTGGGCTAGCCAGGGGGTCCCCTATTGAAATACCACATGCCATCATTGGCTCACCCACATGCTTCTATACCACTTGATCTTCATCTTCGCCCGCGACCTCCACACTGCGGCGGATCCATCTGCGGCCAGCCCAGGCACGCCAAAGGCAGCACAACGCTGCAGAAGTTGCTGCAAGTCCTTTCGCCCGTGGGCGAAACCGTGGGTTCGGCTGTTCTTTTGGAGGCCCGAACATTCACACCGTGAAAAAGGTCCTTTAAACAACCTGAAACAAAAGGACCAATTCCCCTCTTTGGAGCACCAGGTGGTGCCCCTCGAAATCTCCCAAACCCGGGGCACGCGGCAACGACGAATCCCGAGGGGTGGGTCTCGTACCCTGCCCAGTCACGGCCTCTGGCCGAAGGCTCGCTCGAAGGGCGCTTGTTGGTCGACCCGGAGGAAGAGTTCTCGTCCGAAGAGGGCGTCGGGTCATGGGTGAACCGGCCAAGATGATCATAAGCGGATGATCCATGAACAAGATACCAGCAAGGGTATACCATACCCATCTCACACTCCCAACGCCACCTGGAATGGGCTGGATCAGTCTTCCCACCAATCCCAATCACCACTCTCGGATCTCTTCCTTGTTGCTCCTGGCTTTCAACTGCTTTCGCCACCTTCAGAACACCCCACGAAAAAGACACATAAGAGAGAGTACGTCAGCGCACGCCACTCTCAGACATGCCGCCGCCACCCGCCCCCCACGCGGCATGTCTGCACCCCTCCGACCACCGGCGGACCGTGCGTGGGACCGCGCCGCCCGACACTGGTAACTGGGGAGGGAGGGACGTGTCATTGACCGGGCACAAAGGGTCCTGCGGAGTGGCCGCATCCAACTGGCTGATGCACAGGACCGTGGTCACCGCCATGCTGTCGATCACCGGCACCATCTGCGGCAGCAAGCGTGCCGCGGTGGCGGACGCGGGCACGCGGTGAAGGAAGCGGATACCGTGGGACCGGTAGAGCTGAAACGGTGGTGTGGAGGGTAAAGGGGGGAAAGAAGGGCAGAAGTCAGTGAAGAATGACCGAGCAGGGTTGATCATTCATCATTGACAAGTCATTAAAAATACATGATGCACGTATATGCATGACTCGTGATCCAGCTGGTCTACGGTGGAATGGGGTGGTGGATGGTGGATGGTGGTGCTTCGGTGGATGCCCAGTGATGGACCGACCCCAAAGCCGGTTCCGCTTCGACTGGATGTCTGGCTTCCGCATGGCGTCGCCCGTGCGTCGCCCGAGGTCCAATGAACGAAATCCAGGATCAACGATCCGGGCCTCACCATGTCACGCCTGAAAAACGAAGAAACGAAGAAATATCCGCTGTACCAGCTGGATCTTCCAACTCTTTGTATTTGGCTGGTTTAGATCAACAGCTCAGAGATTTGACTCAGTCCAGTCCAAATCCTTCAAAACCGATCGGTCTCATGTCTCGCCGGCCCGCGGACACTCCGTTGCTCCGCCACCTCTTCGTCCCACACAGACCGGGTGCCCCGGGCTGGGCAGGGCGGAGGCGCCACGGTCCACGGTGTCGAATCACGGTGTGGCTGGGAGAGGCAGCGGCAGGGAGCGTGGTTCTGGACTGCGTGGAATGTGTGTGGAGTGGTTTTTGGCTGATTTAATTCGTTTAAAACAAAATAGACATCAAACAACACAAAAAACATGTTTGGAATTTCAAAAATAGAAACTCGAATGGGAATCGTATATGCATTTTTTCATCAATAGTCAATAGATTTCTCACGCCCGCGTCCATTTTGGTGTCCCTTCAGGGCCCCTACCGTTTGCCCAAGAGTTCTTGAACTTTACGGCCCCTATCAGTCGATGGAGATTTGCACTCTCTTTTTGTTGATTTCGGCCCGGAAGAAAAGAAGAGAACATGCGCGCAGCCAATCTGCTTTCAGCATGCATGATTTTTCAATCATGCAGCTTCCACATGTGAGATCCAATACGTTCAATGTGTTAACATTCCAGGACCCCCGGTGACATGAGGGGACTTGGTCTGTCCAACCACCGGAGAGAAGAGACATCACCGACGTCGCACGGTTGACCTGGACCCGAACGCCTCCGGTCGCTCCCTCCGCACCCGAAGGGCCTCCTGGCTTCGGTTCGCTTGCTTCACCTTCCGCGGATCGCCGTTCGGCCCCGGAAAGCCCGGTAAGCCGACTTCGCATTGGAGGCAGTGGCCCGTACCGTGGTGGAGTCGAGTCTAATCCTATCCCTAGAAGTCCAGTTGGACTATATTTTGACCGGCTGGAGTAAAGGAAGTTTCCTTTCAGTGCCCTTAAAGACCATTCTCTTTATAGTCTTTGACTCCCAGGGCTATAGCAAAAACAGTTGGGAAATCGGTGGTAGTGGATTTTTTTGAAAGCTGATCATGACCCCTGAGCTTGAAAGAGGATACATGCGGTGGTTGAGCCCCCCACATGGAACCTGGCATGGACCAGACTGGAAGAGGATCTTCCTCATACCAACCCGGGCGGCGTAGCTTTCAGGTGCATGGTTGATCTGACTACAGGACTTTGGCTTCTTAATCGGAGAACTTGCTTTTTCTTCACTGAGGCATCACATCGTCCAACTTGACGATGTAGAGAGGTTTCTCAAAACTTGAAATCCTTGGGACTGCTGACTGGGACGGGTGTGAAGATGGAAGAAGCATGTTTGAGCTTCCAAAAATACACTCACAATTGAATGTGCGTGCATCTTTACCAGACTTGCTACCTTCAATGGTCTGGTGTGAAGGCACAGGATTTGAATGGCCTTGACAGAAGTGGTCCGGTGGGCGCATGGATTGGATGGCATGCCGTGGCGCCACCCCAGGTGCCTTAGCAATTCTAGATTTCTCGGCTCCATATCACAGGATCATCCTGTCTGAATGCCCTGGCTGGACTACCCAGCCCACTCCTTGCTCTGCTGTGAGTCAAAACCGTGATTTTTTTGCTACAGGGCCCTTCTAAATTTTCCGCCTGCGTAAACTTGTTGCTGCTTTTACTTCGCGAGATACCGCGCGGATAATTCCTTTCCGTTTTGTTAGTCAACAACACGACTACCCCACTCTTATCGCACCCGCCCAGAGGGCAAGGGACGCGTAAGAAGCGCGAACATGCTGTGCAAGACCGATGCCTCAAACTAGGGTAGGTTGACCTCGCGGTCAAGTAGGTTCCCACAACCATGCATCTCCCTTGGATTCAATAAGTCCAGGTATACTCATCTCTTCAGGAATGGTCCTTTGGGCCCCTCCCAGTTCATTCGGAGCACCTGTTCTTTCCAAAACGGAGAGCCCCATGAACGCGTCAAAGGTCTTTCCCGCCTATTCCCTCCCCATCAACACCTCCACAGTCACACTGACCCTGCCAATCCGCGCCGCGACTCTCAACGACGAGGCACCGACCGACGCGCTTCGCGGTTCGGTCGACGTCTCCGGCGCCTTAATGGCCTTGGATCCAATGAAGACGCCCTGGCGGTGTTCACGGAATTGTGGTCATGAGGGTAGGGTTTAGGGTTCAGGGCCTGAAGAAGGGGTGGTGAATGGACACCCCGAATCACCTCCGGCTATGAATAGACACCCCGACAGGAGGGTCCTGATATTGGGTTTGTTGTAGGTTCTTCTATCCAAAATGCTGAAAGTCTGTTTGTTGGGCTTTGGGCGTCGAGAATTTGGCTTATTCTAAATACACAAATCGTGGCCCAACTAGCCATGCCAATCCACGCCTTCAGACCGTCCCAACTCCCTCCTCCAGCCTCCTCTCGCCTCTCCTCCAATTCCCCCCCCACCCACTTACACTCTAAATACTCTAATATCCCTAACTCCCACCCCTCGTTTACCCCTCCACACTCATGACAGTTCCGCTGTCACCCCCTGCACCTCTCAGGGACAAAGGGACCACCGGGACCGCCCATGACCAGCACCAACGACCGCACACGCCCGCGCCGCCTGCATCTCACGGATGGCCTCTTCCGCCTCACGCTGCTCACCTGGGAACGGCGGGACGCGAGGAACGGAAGCGTGGAAGGAAGGCGTGGATGAAAAAACACCTCTTGGCGAATGGCATTGTATGTTGCATCGCATTGGGCTGGTGGCATGTTGTATCGCTTGGCTGATTTGGCTGGGGCCTAACATGTTTATCCTAGACTAATAGTTAAAGCATTGATCGAAAGTAAGTGATCGAACAGATTGTGGTGAGCTCGATCGCCCGCGCCGGGTTTCAGCACGTTTCAGCCCCCCCCCCCTTCTGAGCTCGTCTCCACCTCTCCCCACCTCCACCTCTGAACGCCGCACGGTTTGGTCCCAGCGGCGAAAGCGAACGAAGCCAAAACCCCGGGAGAACTGGGTGTGCTGGTCGCAAATCACCTCCATGCAAGCGATGGGAGCGGCAAGAGCGGCAGAGCGGCGAGGAGAGGAGAGACCGCGGCGAGATTGGGAGAGCGGAGAAAAGAGCGGCAGAGCGGGCTGGGCAGATCGGTGATCCACATGGAAAAAATGGGGTCCCACCAGTGAACTCGAAAGACGGAGGGAACAACAAGAACACATTAATATATATTATATATCCGCCGACCCCGGCCTATAGCCAAAGCCTGGGCGGGGAGGCGCCTGGGACACCGCAGGGTGAAGCAGTTGGCCAAGCCTAGCAGAACCCTTCAAGCACTTCCAAAGGCGTAGGATGCAGCAGTTGGCCAAGCCTAGCAGAACCCTTCCAAGCACTTCCAAAGGCCTGTCCGAGGCCTCACCAGCTGGCCGGCCTGTTGCGGCCTCTCTGTGGCCTGTCCGAAGCCTGCCTCCTCTCTTCTTATGGGCTTCCGAAGGCGACGGTTAGGCATTTTGGACCGCCTTCAAAAGCTTTTCGGCCTCTTGCGGCCTCTCTGTGGCCTGTCCGAAGCTTCTCGGCAGCCGGCAGGCCTCTTGCGGCCTCTCTGTGGCCTGTCCGAAGCCTGCCTCTTCTCTTCTTATGGGCTTCCGAAGGCAACGTTAGGCATTTTGGCTCGGCTTCAAACGCTCCCCAGAGCCTCACCGCAGCCTTGCCCTCTTCTCGGCAGCTGGCAGGCCTGCCTCTTCTCTTCTTAT